TCTAAAAGTCTAAAAGGGTTATTAGTATTCAGATACACGCTGTAATACACATACAAACCAAGAATGTTAAATTAAGGTGTAAAACTGCTATTTGGTTATTATACATCAGTTTTGAATTCTGTTTTTGCTATCTTTGAAATAATAAACTGTGTTTAATGGATGAGAATTGTTCAGTAGGCCTTGTAGCTAGGCTCTGTTCTCCCACAGAGATATTTGTGATTATGGACAGGCTGGGGTCATCCTGTATTTGGAGGGGGAAAAGAACTGAAGCCAACCTGCAGGAACAATTTTACTATACACATGATTTCAGACAAGTGTTTGGATGGTTTGGATAATGTTATTATGAAAGCTGTCTTTTGAAAACAGAAGCCTCCTACTCCCTCAATCTTTCTTTCTTAAGCATGAAGCTGGTTTTGACCAGCAAATTTGAATATGTAGAGAAATTCCTATGGGTTTGGTACAGCATATGATTTGACGCTTGATTTTTGTGCATCGCTATATATCACGTGCTATGTGTGATAAGTGGTGTGCTATGCTATGACACAGGACAGGCAACCAGAGCGAGGACAGAGGAACCAGAAGGGAAGGTTTCTGACTATTGGAATAAAATACTCATTTCCATTTATGATTTAATTACTGAGTTTCCCTGAGCTGTATGTTTCAAATTCAGGTAAAGTTCTGGCATTGCAATTATCAAGAAAGAAGTTGAATCCACGGCCTCTTAGTCATTGTTAAAAAAATAATTTAATCACTTGATCATTTCTTATATTTTCTTATATTTTCTTATGCAATGTCAGACAAGTAGGTACTTATAAAGAACATGTTTGCATTCTGCTGTGAGTGTACTTAAGGTGATAGTGATTTTTTTTCACATTGTAATTTGTTTGTTTATAGCACTCTGAAATTATTTATCCTCAGTCGAAAGCTAATAAAGAAAAGTTAAGTTCAGGTTAAAAGAGGGGAGCTTTTTATAAGGTTCAGTAACACCAAATACCCTCACAAATCTATAGCATGTATTAGAATTGCATTGCAAACAGTTTTTAAAAAAAGCAGTTATCAAAGGCTGGTAGTACTCTTTCACTGTATATGTATTGGAAGTTGTTTTGTTGTTTTTGTTTTTGGTTTTTTGGTTTTTTTTTGTTTGTTTTTTTTTTTAAGTGACTGTGGTCTTTTTTGATCAATATTTGGTATCTGTAGAACTGCAAGTAGATAGTCAACGATTGTAGTAAAAAGGCAGATTCTCTATGGCGCATTCAAACGTAAACTACTGTTAGCGGTGCATTTTTCACAGAGCAGTTTGTGTGTCCGAGAGCAGCACGCTAGAAAAAGCTTGTTAAGTCCACAGATTGTGAGTTTGTCCCATACTGTAAGTATTCTTCAGTCCTTCATACCTTATTCTGATAGCATGGTGATAAGATATGGAGTAGATTAGCCAGCCTTAGTGGCCACATGTAAACAAAATGATCCTTAATTCTGGCTGCCCTGAACTGTGGGCAGCATGTAGAGATGCCAGCTGAGGCTTTGCAAATTACCATGTCAACATGGGAGTTTCCCACATCGCAAGCCTCTTGTGTTCACATGGTTGTTGGTGGGTGCTTAAGACACGCTCTTCTCTGGTAAACCTTTCTTTTCCTTTTGGTAGAGTGCTTGCTTTTGAGTGCGATCTGCACACATGTGTAAAACTCCTAAAAAATAATATCTTAGGGCTGTGTGCATAGGAAGAAATGACGTGATAAGTATCATATGGTGCGAAGGACTCTGGCTCCATGGTTTTATCTTCTTTCTTGTAAAGACAGCAACTTCAAATGACAGTTTGTTGACAGTTTGTCTTCACCAGTCAACAAACTGGTAAGGACCAATCTGCCAGCTTCTGTGCCACTAAAACGCGTCATGAATTCAATTAAAAATCTACATGTAAGGAAAGAAAGTATCTCGTGAGATTACTGAATAGGTTGGAAAAGCCCACAGATCAAAACCCGTGGTTTCCCAGCATGGTAAAACTGCAGAAATCTTCTGCCGTTGACTACTGAGACAGTTTTGTCAAAACGGACTTGAATTCATAATGTGCTAAAGTGAGTAAGTTGCTGAGACAGTAGTACTGAGAAAACTGCTTTTTAAAGACCTCGAAAGAATGGGGAAAGGGAGAAACTGCTGATGACCTACTGGAAAATTAGAGTTGACAAACAAAACAAGGAAAGAAAATAGAGGTATGAGCACTGCTGACTTCTAAGCTTTAAAATACAGTGCTGAATCTTTTGCATGTTTCAGTGGTATTTGTATGTGAATTTGTGTACGAAGTGACTGAATTGCTGCTTCTTGTCTTTTGTTTGTGTGTCCAAGTTTGATATAAATGAGGACATGATGCAAGTCTGTGAGAAACTATTTTGAGATAGGAGAGGCCAGCCTATGAAGAGATAGGTGCGATCATATTAATCTCCTATGAGATCAGTACACCTTACAGTGAGAAAATTCATAAAACCCCCAAAGGTCATGTAGGCTGGGATTTTCAGAGGCACCTAAATTAAGCATTAGGATCTCATTGTGTTTCACTGGGATTTTAGCAGTTTTGTTCCTTTTCTGTTCAGGATCAAGAACTATTATTTCAGACTGAGAGCATACACAGCAAGAGATGCTTCTGGAGTAAAAGTGCCTGAAGAGTTACTTCAAAATAACTCCTCATGCAGAACAAGAAGTTCATATTCTGCATCGTGATCAATATTCAGGTGTATGTAATATGTTGTGATGTGCATTGCAGTAGTTTAATTTTTGAGATTAAAAAAAAGTATAAATTAAGGAAACGTGAATCTATTTTGAAAGCACTGCTCGCATCTTCTTAGCCAGGAACAAAGGGAATATGGTCGTGTGGTCTGAGCTACAATCTGAGCTTGGAGCAATAATTGAGACTGTGACAGTTTTAGCCGTTCGTGTCACTTTGTGTGAAAGAAAAACAAGTGATGATTGATTCACCCCTAATGAACCAGAAGTTGTAGATGTCTGTTTATTGCATCATTCTTGCTGAACTTTTTAAAAGTGTAAAACCAGATGATTGAAGTTTTGGCATGGTAAATTATTGTAGAAGTAGTAATGCATGAAAAAAAAGGAGGAAAAAGGTGGTGAAATGTGTGTCTTATTGAGGGCAAAGATACTTTTCCCATTAATTTCAAAAGTGTCCGGATTTACCCCTCGTATGCTCAAATATTTGTTCTTGGTTAAGACAGTTGATTTTTCAAGGACATTTAAACATTGAAATATAATTTTGTGTCTTTACGCGCACATACGCATCACAGAAGTCAGCGCAGCGCTAATAGCTACCCTTCGGTCTGAAAAGGGATCTCTTTCAAGGACCTGTCAGAATCTGCTCCTGTGTCAAGCCTCAGCCAAATGCTTGCCTGCCTGAAGCTATAAAAGGGTTCTGCCAACGTGGATTCCTGTGCTACCTTCCCTTCACCCTGCTGCGTGTTTAGAAAGATGGTCTGTTTTCTTAACAGTAAAAGATGTGCAAAATGTGCTGAAGTTTGCTGAAAGGAATTTAAAAGGAAATATTTTTGTCTTGGCATGTAGCACGGTTGTAAGAAGAATCATTTTGATGGCATCCATCTGTTGCAGACTAAAATAGGTTGGAATTGCGGATTGTGAAGTGAGTTAGTACAGCGTGTTAGTTAGGGTGACCGAAATAATGCATTGAATTGGACTGGGTGACTGAAATAGTTCGCTTTGTCAATCAGTATTAATAAGCTGAAAGTGGGAGGCTTTTAGGATATTCTCACAATGTGAAAGAATGGTTTTCACCCGGTGTTTCTGGCAGGGAATTGCACTCAGATGAGAAACACGCTCACTCGGAGGTGTTTCGGTGGAATGGCAAGTCCTAGTCCAGTGGCACACGTGCCCTCCTGTACCTCTCCAATCACACCCCCACAAAAGAGGCTTTCACAGTTACTTATCTGCTTTTTGAAACTCACTCCTACTCTATTTATTTATTTTAAGTATAAAAATTGTTACTGTCTCATTCACCTGTGCGTAGGTTCACATGGGGGTGAACTTTCAAGTATGGGCTGGTTTCAAATAGCCAATCTAATGTCACGTCGTAAATGTAGATAACGGTGAGAGGTCTGACGCATTTCACGCTCCTTTGCTTAACAGTACATCCCACAACCTAGCTGAAAAGTGAAAACGTGATTTTTATTTTCTTTTTTTAAATGCGAACGTATGAATGCAGTTTAGGAGTGAGCGTGTTTACAACGCTATCCTGGGTTTAGATACTCAGGCTTGAGTACTTCACCCGCTTTGTTCTATGGGTAGCTACACTCACAGTGCTGCCCGCCTTTGTGGGACTTTTCCCTTTTCCCTCTAGCATGACCCACGTCTGTGTGACAGGTGATAAAATACAGCCAGAGGACCTTTTTACTCTTGGATATTGTTTTTTCTCCCGTGTGTACCTCTCTGTTAAGCCAGTGTGAATATGCACTGTAGTCGTGTAAATTTTACGCGCGTGATTATGCACTGTAGTCACCTAACTTTTTATGCAGAGTATAAATCCAAAGCCAATGTATGTTTTCTTAAGTAGCATAGCCAATAACAGGAGTGGTCAATTATTTTCCAGTGTTTTGAGCATATATATATATATATATATATATAAACCCCAGAAAACTATGGCTAGCAAGTTGATGCGTTTATTTTTTTCTTGTTGCTAATATCAGTTATATGATTGCTGTTGTTTTTTTGTTTTTTTTTGTTTTTTTGTTTTTTTTTTATTCTTGCTCAATCTTGAACTTCAGCAATTATTGCACTATTTTGCTCACTCTGTCAGGTCTGCAGTTCTTTTGTGCCGGTATTACCTTGTTTGTATATGCTAATTAATGCAGATATAGTGTGAAGTCAGTTTTCTCGACAATTTTATTCTCCTGCAGCATAAAGCATGGAAACCTTTCACTGGTGATGAAGTTGTGCTCTCTTTTAAGCAGGAGCTAACTAGAGATTCTTTCTTTCTTATCTTTTTACAGTCTGACAGCAATGCAAGCTTCCTCCGAGCTGCTAGAGCTGGCAATCTGGACAAAGTAGTGGAATACCTGAAAAGTGGAATAGACATTAACACATGTAATCAGGTAAGATATTTGAAGGACAGAAGTTTGCAGGAGTGAGTTGCAAGAACCTCCCCTCAAAACCTAGTTTTTTCAGGCTCGATTACTTCATACAGATGTTTTGATTCACCTCAGGCTACGTTTTCAGTCTTGTTCGTCAGTGGCATCTTTCTGCAGGAAGCTGATAGTGTCTCTAAAATTGTGCTGCTTTTAGTAAGGCTTTGTGTAAGCCTTTCTGGCCTCCGCTTTCTTGCCAGCATCCCGCGGGTGTGGATGTATGTTAGTGAAGTACCTGTAATCAAACCTTAAGGTGTGCTTTGGCAGTCCAACACTAATGGACCTGCTATTGTGACATTCCAGTTCTAATTGAAACCGTGAGCACTAAATACAGTTGTATTCCTCAAAAGACTGAAGTTATGCCAAAAAACCTAAAAAGTTCTAGTGCAGGAAGTTATTATGTAGTATTTTTTGGATACAGGTGAATACTGTGATAAAATGTGCCTGGATATCAAGTTGAAAGTTCTCAGTAATTCTAATTGGTTTCTTTGTAGTTTAGATGTGCTGAGGCATCTGTGTTCACCAAAACCCACCTCACTCCCAGTCTGCTTGGTTTTGTATCGCCACGACAGAGCGAGATTGAACTCCCTGTCTGAACAGGAGACTTGGGAAGCTGAGGCCCACCCGTTATCCAGTTTTTTTTCCCATACTGAGAGTCTTCATTCTTCTATTTGTCTGGAGAAGTGAGACCGTGCCAACACTCATATTTTTTTCTCTGTTAGTTACAGCTGTTTGTTTATCGTATCCATTTATTCATTGCGACGAGGCATGCCCGTGTGTTGGGTATTCCTCATTTCAGTGAAAGATGCGCCTTTCTCCAGAGAACTTGCTTTGCAAATAGGGGTTGAGGAGCAGTAGATATTACAACAAAGTGACAGATGTGCAGAGGATGGCAGTGGTATGACTGTGATTAACAAATTCCACAGCATGCCAGCTGTAACCTTTTGGGTTTGTGGTTGGGCTTTTTCTGTGCGTTAGGTATTTTTTTGTTGTTGTTTTTATTTGGTTTTTTTTTTGTTTTTAAGCTATTTTGAAGACCTCTTTTCTGGCATCTTCATAGGTGTAGGGGTTAGTTTAAAGGAAGGTTCTAAATTTCTTGTAAACATTTGTCTGAAGGACAGTGTGGACTGGCATCCTTGACAGAGCCAAGGAAGAAGTTGAAAGCCGTGTACGAAAAATGGTATCCTTAGCTTGTATGTGAAGGCACTGCTTGGAAGTTTTAGAGTGAGCTGTGCTTGAACGGATAAGAAAAGCAAAGCTGACTCTGTTTTTCAGGCAACAGTTTGCAAAGATGAGTGCTGTGGTGTTTGAGTGGATTTCAAAATTGAGTTGTAAAATATTTTTCAGTTGCCTAAAGAAGTTTCTTGTAAACGTTGTTTTTACATGTTCAGTATTATGTTTAAGCCCTGTAGCATGGCGACAGTTTTAGAGGCTGGAGTTTCTGTCATACCTAGAGCAAGAGTTCTCTTCCAGGACACACTCTCATTCATATGGTAGTTATAGCAACAACTTAAAGAAATTACGGGTCTAAATTTGTAACAAAATTTTACTATTATTAAAGAAATGGTCCTGGACCTATGTGTAATATGTTGATACACGTTTCTCCCAAATAAAGAAATACAGTCTGTGTTTTCAGTTTTACGTTTAGTTTTCAGGGCTTGTATATTGCTTTGTTTGCTCATTAAATTAATGTGCATGCTGGGGCAATGAGGTGGCAATTGAATAATTCATACCAAAGAGAGCAGATACTAGCAAAATAAATAGGTAAATTTGCAAATGATGTGTGGATTTTATTAATGCTTTTTTAATTCAGATCATTCAGTTAATATTTTAGTAAGCAAATTTTATAACTAAAATATTATTTGCTGATGCACAATACCTTACTAAAATTAGCTTTTTTCAATTTTTTTTTCTATTTTTGGTGAAAAGTACCATCTAAGTATCTCTAAATAACCTCAAGACAGAAAAATGATGGAAAATATGTGTTTTACTGAAGAAAAGAAAGACAATTCCATTGTGAATCTAATCTTCCCCCCCATCATTCACATTACTTTTACATTTTGATTTAATAAAAATTATTCCCTTTTTGGTGGAGTATGTTTCAGGTATAAGATATTTGAAGCTGCTCTGTCCTTTGGGAAATGTGTAGGGATGGAATATACTGGTACTGGAGAGTGGAAAAAATTGAAATAAAAAATATTATTTTAAGTTTGGAGAAAAAGCCCATGTTGTCTTATCTCTTCTGATCACTATTCAGATTAAGATCAGAAATAGTCAACATTTTCCCTACTGTGTCCAGACATACAGCTGTGGCTCCTAATGTAAATTGTATCCAGGAGCTGAGCTGCTAGTTGCTGTGGACATACCTGTTGTAAATAAGTAAAATATTTAGGAAATAAAGCTGTATGTCTCTTTGGAATTAGTAAGGAAATTATATTATGACTCCATTAAGCTGCGACAGCTAATAAATTGCTCTCCAGGGCAGCTAGAAGGAAAAAGGCTGTTGAAACAGCATTTCTAATTTTTTTTAATAGCTGAGGTGAAAGGTACACATTTTCCAGTGAATCAGACTGAGAGCTGGAGTTCTTTCTTGCTCTGATGTGAACATGGGCTTTAGGAGCCGTGGATTTTGTTGGTAGCGAAGAAATGCTACGAAAGCATGGGGTTTCTTTGGTGGCAAGAGCAATAATCCCATGTGAAATTGTAAGTTTTCCTTTTTCTGAAAGAATTTCAACAAAGTTGTTGGGCAGTACCTGCTGGAACAGTCCCCTGCCGGTAGTGCCGATGGCAAGTTCCCCAGTTTTTGGAATTTGGGTTGCAGTTACTGTATCTGGGAACCCTCAGAGAAGAAATGACCCTCTTGTTTTCATCTTTGATATCTCAAGCCACTTGTATGAAAATGATTAGTAAGTTGCTTCAGAAACCTGCCAGGGGATTACTTTGAAGGGGAGAAAGAGTTGTAATGAGTTTTTCAAAGGTAGTATTTATACATTGTCTTCCTTTGTCTCACTTGTGGTATACCCTAAATCTGTTATTAGAAGAAGGAGCTTTGTACTATTTTAACCAGTTTCTTTTGCATTTCTGGTGCATCTTTGACTTCAGTGGTTCAGCTCTAATGAAGACTTCCTTGGTCTTTTTGTTACCCAAATGCCCAAATTCTATCTTGTCCTTCACAAAATTTTAGAAGGAATTTCTTGCAACTGTGCAGTTAGTGCATGACCTCAGATGTCCTCAGTGGGTTCTAAAACACTTCTTCGTTTTGAAGTTCAAAGGAAGCAGGAGAAGGTTTAGCACCCCACAGTGCCAATCTCCTCCCTTAGGAGCAGTTACTGGAACCACAGAGGTAATTGTTTCACCAAGAGCAAAATTCAACTCAAAACGTGCGATAGAAAGAGCACTGGGCAGTCTGGGCATTACAAAGATACTACTTTTTCACATTGAAAGCAATATGGTCAGCCAATCGATTTTCCTCAACCATCCCACATGAAGCACCTGATCCCCTGTGACCTGAAGTGCGGAAGTCTGAGGTTTCCCTTGCTATTTTTGTGAGATCTCAGCCACTAAGTAAAGAGTCAGTGGGTGGTATTTTTAGCTGACTAGCTAACTTGTGTCCAAGCAGATTAAAACCTTGTAGCTCACTTGCATTAGCAATGTAATTCTGATTACCCTCAGATGGTTAGAGACTAGCCACGTTTTTTTAACTTGTTTCAGAAAACCGTACATTTAAGTATGTTTTTATCACTGGCCAATCTTATCTATGACATAAATTGTGTTATATATTGTTATAAAAAGGTACTTAAATTTTCTGCTTAAAATTACCTGCCCTTTCAGGAAAGTTATTATTGCTGTAAAAATACGCCGTTAAAGTTTCACCATTTATATGACTATAATGTGATAGAATGTTTTAGCTTGGCTTTTTTGTAAGTCTGTCATACAAATCCAATTACTTTTGCTTCATAGCCTAGGGACCACATTTGCAACGCTTATTTAAGTGACTAGTACCATCAAATTTAATAGGGCTATATAAATATGCAAGTAAGTGTCTGCATCAGTCCTGAAAAATGTCTTGACATTCTAGTGAAATCAATGGCATTTCTTTGAAGGGGGACTTGGAAGCTCAGGCTGTATGGTGTCCCACTTTCCCCTAACTCTTAGCCAGATTTAATCAACGTGGCCACTGACTGGACAATGGCTATGAATTTTGAGAGTAAAATTGCTTAAAATTTGTTTTTAAACCACATTAAAATCAGTAAATCATTCAATAGCAATGTCACAGAAGCTCTGTTCTGTAACATGCATCATGAAATGGGCTAAAATTTCAGTGCACCATCTAAATAGAAGCTTCAAAGACTGTTCACCTTCATAGACCGCAGCCTTGGGTTCAGCTTGGTGGTGGTACAGTTTGTTCTGTTTGACTCCAACAGTGGCAGAGCTGTAAAGAGGAAGAGTTCCTGGTAAAAAGTTGCAGGTGTTCAGGGAGAGTCTGGGAGCAGAGGAGAAGACTGTGAACATGCTGCCCCTGACGTACATTGACTATGCTATCGGTCTTGGGCAAGGGTTCTGTGGATAACAGCTATTAATGAGGGGTGTTGGTGTGACACCCCTGCTTATATTCCCATACCCCTGCATGTAACAATTATAAGAAAAACTTCTGAGCTTTGGCTACATTTGGGAACACGATGAGTATGCCTCTGCTGTTAAATGACCTACCTCCCCAGTTTCACCCGTGAGTCCTGGTTCCCTAATCATCCATGCTGTACATGTATTAGTTGGTTCCTTCTGGCATAAAGCAGCTGGTTTTCTCAGAGATGAGACCTGGGAGCAGTTCAGGGGTTGTTCAGTGCAGGAATTGCTCTCCTCACACAGTGGGGAATGCCTGTGCTGGTGGTGCTGCTGCTCCTCATAGTCCCCCAGTATATCCCAGCAAACTGTGATCCTGTAAGCCTTGTCTCAGGCCGTGAGCCATT